TGTGGAGCAGGGATTACCCTTCCATAATTTAGTCTACACCTTTTTCTTAACGATTTGGTTAGTAGATAAGACCGCTTCAAGCGTCTAGTGTTGAATTGTGCAATATAAAGAAGAGTTTACTGCGTTAAGCATGTTTAGACTAACTTCTCGACTCAGGCTTGGCCATCAGTCTTGTGCTAACGCTCCGGACACTTTTCAGTCAAAGAATATTTCGCTCTGCTAATGCCCGAATTTTGTCAGTTTGCGAAGGAGCGATAAGAAAAGAGCGAAAGGAGTAAGAAACGTACTAATTGCTAGGATGCTCTTTCCTGAGAACAGAAAAATCTACAGCAATTGTTCTGGAGAGTTAAATTCAGGGAAAACTCCATTCATAGAGGAGAAGCTTCACGATGAAGGGTACCTGACGATTTTAGACAAACTATGAATTGGATTAGTTGATAATTCACTGTTGATTAAAATTTTTTCATATTTGCACTATAAACTATCAAAAATATCGTCGGCAAGCATGTCGATCACCGGAAATGATTTCATTGACATTATCAATAAATCCTTTACTGGGATCTTCGTTGCTGTTGGGTCGATTCGTCGTCTTCCGTTTACTTTGTCGTCAATACGCAAGGAACTGACATAGTAGAGGAGAATCGTGAGCAGACGAAATACTGAAGACCGTAGGGAGGAGAGGAGGCTGCGTTAGAGCATGAGAACAATCCACTGATCTGAACAATCAACTTCAAAGCAGCAACAATGAAGATGAGATCAGNATCTGAACTGACGGTAATGTAGTTTTGAGGGGTTAGACGAGAGCTCATTTGAAAGACTGTTAACTGAACTGATAGCAAGTGGACTTGCACTGAAAGACATTGTTGCGCTCGCATAATTGAAGTATTCATTTAAGTCGTTCAATTTGTTCCATGCAAACGGTAATTGAGTTTCATGCATGCACTATAGTTTACAGTGATTGTTATTGATGTGAGTTTGAAAGGCACGCTAAAAGCTCTACAATTTAATATTAATCCAGTCCAAAAGGCTGAATTCAAATTCGATTATCCAGGAAGTTGTATTCGTACAATGCCGCACTCAGTTGTTCTAAATTTGAATTGATGTGAAAATAAAATTCAAGAACTATCATATGATGTCCATTATTCATTATCTTCTAGTTGTATTCACTGGATAATGCTCAGGGTTTATGCATCACTTACTGGCTGATGTTTCAGAAGAACTCATCCTTGACGTAGCGAATTGGTTGCAAAAATATTCTATTCATGATGATTTATTGATGTGGGTATGCGCAATGCACTAACGACAGTACCATCGGCCATTAAGGAAACTTCCTCGAAAAACTCTCATTGAAACAAGCTAAGCTGTCAGAATCGGCAACGAAATCATGAACTGATCTAAACAACGTGATGACCTTTGCTTGCCTTCTGCAACAAAACAAATGATTTCAGCATAATCAGTCATCATTCTGACTTGTCATTCATGCGAAAACAGTCGACTGAGAAACAGTTCAACAAGGTCGTTGCGCTGCTTAGGTCAGGAATACAAGAACTTATGATGAATGGAATCAAAAGGCAAATTATTTGTTCATAATATGCTGCTTCTAAATGTTAAGGCTAATTATGCATGTCAACAAGATAATGCTTCGATTAGGATTAATTGAACCGTATATGACATTGATACTGCTTGGTTTCNGACATGAACCATCAAGCGGAAAATGTAGTGGTTGGATAGCCACGACAGCTTCAGCGTATGTTCTTCAGCACTTTTCCATCTCAGTGATGCTTCGTTCTGTACGATTTAACTCAAGTACTTATGAAGGATACTTTGTCCAATAGGGTTGACATGGTGTGGTACGAATGCTCTCGAAATGTGGCTAAAGCACTCAACACTTATTGATAACAATTCGAAGATTAGTTATATTTGATAAATTGAACGAAGCAAAAATAACATTTTGGCAGCAGTTATAACGATTGAGTAGCTCATTATAGTGCGCCTTTTGGGATTACATCGTAAACAAAGGGACAGCAGTAATCAATGAGCAACGAAGTAAGTCAGCTAGATGCACTAAGTGCTTTGAACTTCGATTGCGTTCAGAAATTCGTTGTTAATACGATTGCTTCATAGCAGCGAGCAAGTTATCAGTAAACAGAATTATTCACCTAAAGATAGTTGGGAGCTAACTTCAAACAGAACTCTTCCCTTTGTTTGCCTCTGCAAATGCATACATAGAAAGGGAAGAAGTTGCAAAATCGCTAAAATTACCAACTGTCAAGCAGCTGACATCGTGAAGAAGGAATGCCTATGTTGTATATCTCAATAGTGCATCCGAAAGAGTGCATACTCATTGAGAATTACATCGCAAAAACCAGTGATATTTTAAAAAATAGCGACAAAATCAATAGGGGAGATAAGTCTTGCTAAATGCTAACTTGTTTCGAGAGTGTCTTCATTGATAGACAGCACAGATTTTGGTGCTAGCGAATCACGTTGTTCATTATGAATTCATTACGTTATTCATCTTCTTAATAAGCTGTACTTTGTGCATTTTTGATGCGGTATTTCTGGTCACCGTGAAAATCGTGAGCGACCATTCCACTAACGTCGAGAATTACTCACAGCATCGAAGAGTTTTTTCTAAACGTAAACCGACCAGAGCGTCAATGCGGAATTACATACGTTTGAATTATTAAAGTTTGCTTCAAGTTGATAACCGCTGGGCATATTTTCGAGTGGCTTGGTGCTTTTTCCCTCAAATTATCCATTCGACCGCTCAATCCATGCAGCTTTGTTCGGGTCAGATAAGTGGACAGAACAAAATTTTCGAAAAATATCCAGGCATATCTTTGTATTTCATAAGTTGCGGATCCATGCCCACACTGATCTTTGTCTAAGAAACAGTAGAACTGTCTTTAGTGTTGATCTAACGGAGTTATTGTTAGCGATGGAAATGTTGTTGCAATTTTCCTAAAGACGTTCCTGTGTCGTAGTCGATACTTGAGATGTTCAGCGATAATAAATCCATCAAACAACAACAAGGACAAGAGCACAATAACTAAACGAAGCATGCATTGAATGACTAATCAACGTTACTTATCGTTGCCAATCGCAACAACACATATCTCTCGAAATAATTCTGAAAATGACAGCGTAAACAAAATAACATGCAGATGAACATGTTCTTCATCCATTTTAATCCGTCACACTTCTCATAACACATGTTCAAACTTCTCATAACGCATTTCTGGACGTTGTTTATCACTGTTTATGTAATCGGTTTGGGTGAGTACTGACGAATGTTGTTGCAATGTACAGAAACGATCCAAGGTTAGAAGTGGGACAAATGAGCATAAAATTCTTTCACATGCTTGGCTGCACAGAATGCGAACAGCCGATAACTCTGTCGACACACATGCTGGTGCGCGATGAAGAATAACCTCACTGGTGAATTTTTTGCTGAACAAGAACTTATTCGTGACTATTCCCGGGAGCAATTTTGCGGTCGTTCAGATTTAATGATAATCTGATGACCTTGAGCTTTCCTAGGATGCGCGCAGCGTTTCAAATAGTAACAGTCTATGTTCTTAAACGTAAAACCTTATGGAAGTTTTGCTCTCGCTTATTATGCGAGTGTCGTTGAGCTGCTGGAAAATGTGAACAATTAATTGAAATTTGCCAATTTCTTTAGTGATGCAAAACTAGAACTGCAAAGGACAATGAATAGAACACATTCAGGGAACTTTGTCACCAGCAATACAACCATATAGCAATGGACAAGTTCCCTAAATATGTCAGCATGTTAATTCTAAACATGGCTTAATGAACCTTTCAATATCTGATCAAATAATGCTTTCTTGCAGCAAAACTTTAATCGCTGCCATCGAATTCCTGTGCAGTTCCACCCTTATTGCAGCCTCTCCTAATCAAACAACACTCAGTGTTCATTACTGATCACCAGAGAGCATCGTTTATTGAAAGTATGAAATTCCTCTGAAATTGTCGCAATTTTTTGGTTTCATTAGACGATTTTTTCTCAAAAGGCTCGTTCATTCGCCTCCATCATTTGCGGGCGACTTTTGATCGCTACATGTCAAAGTAATGAAAGACACATTGAGAGTTGCAAGGCGATAATTCTTGTTGATTACCGCATACAGGAAAAATCCATTTTCGGAATTTTATGTCTGTCACAAAACTGATTGACATTGTCATGAATGAATGAATACTGCCAAGAGATTAGAATCAACCGACTATACAACCACGCTCTATTCAATTGTACACATACATGTATCGTATGCACTCTTATGTATACGTCTATCGTATACTCTTACTAGCACTTTCGAGATGTGCTTCTAAAAATCCAAAGCTTGCTGTCAATGTTAAACAAGGAAAAAAATACGTATTTTCCTGCACTAACATCGAGATTTCTATTGCAGTGCTTTTAAATTTTGCGCAGATTGGCAGCGATAACTTTAAATTTTGCCTCTCTTTCGGTTAAACGTTTCTGCACGAACATTGAAGTGTTATTTGACAAAATGCACAAAAATGTGAAATTCTTCAATCTTCACCAATAAGAGTTCATCAGCTCTACGTGACATATTTGTTTACTTTCATTGAGATAGAACATTTAACGATGTACCTTTGCAGACGAAACCTATAAAAATCCTTGCTTGGAAATCGTTTATTAAGCGTTCTTCAATTTGGCGAATATCTCCTTGGAACTGATTACTGCTTTATTGAGAGGCATTATCTGTTGCTCATTAGATCTTGAGGTTCAGTGAATTGAATATTCGGCCCGTCACCCAATTCTATCATAACCATAATTCGGCGAAACTAACCCTTGGACATGTTCAAATGTTGAACTGATTTCAGAACAATTTCTACTGGCGTCATCGTGGTGCAGGTTATGTGCTTCTGCTGTATGGGTTGGTGTGCTCATTTGGAGCGCTGGCAAATCTGCTCGTGTTGATTGCATTTCTTCGCACATCACATCTCAGGAATTTACGCAATTACTTCATCGCAAATTTGGCCGTCTCCGACCTGCTGATGTGCATCGTTACCGCACCTGTGACACTTTACTTGACACTCAACCTGTTTTGGCCGTTCGGTAATTTCGCTTGCCAAACGGTTAGTTCACATTACTGAACTTCTATTCATCCTTTAAGCGAAAAGCAAAAAGTGATTGGAAGCGAAAACTTTTTTTTTGTCGAAAAGCTTTTGAAATTTCTCAAAAGCTTTGAAACTGCCGATCAACTGTCAATCTATCGATCAAACCGAATGTATCCAGTAAGATTTTTTCACGCACATCACAAACCATATGAAAAGCACGACAGCATTTAAAGCATGAAACAAAATTCGTGGTTGCTATCTACTCTTCCCCGAACACTGTCAATTTCAAGTACACATTGCAAAAATAAGAGCATTGTTTGTTGGTCTGGTCATGTGAAAAATGAAAATTTTTCGGTTATATGCGAATGAAGCAGTCAGCTGGAAAGTACAATTAAATATTTTCATCACAGACAGATAATAGACACTAACTGAAATGTACGAAGTGATTTTTTATGAGTATGCGCAGAGGCATGAATGGTAATCTCATGATTAATTTAAAGGCCCGACTAGAATGATTTTATTCGAATGCAAACGAGAATAATATCGTTCATGCATTCGCTCCGTAAATTTATTTATATAACAACAAAGTGAAATTATATTGCTATGGCACTTCGGCAATAACTGAAAATATTTATGAAACTTGAAATGTGCTTGAGTACGCGATGCGTGAATTGTTGCGGATCGAACTTTCGTTAATAGAAAAAGTTATTAAAAATTGGAAATCTTTCAAAATAAGAAATGCACTCAATATAACATGACAAAGTATTGCTATTGCATGCATTAGTAAATAAGCCTTAAGAATACTCGGGCATAAGTAGAGCAGAAAGAGAATGCTTCATTCATATGCTTCATTGAAAATATGTTTTCT